CTATCACTACCAATTAGTTTTGCCTATTCTTGGGTTTTGTACCTTCTGTAGTTTGTAGTGTTTGGCCTATTTCAATTAATAGAATGTTCTTGAGATTTATACATAATGTTATATGTATCAAGTTTGGTGTTTTTTAATTGATGATAAAAATCTCAGCATGTAAGTGTGCTACAGTTTAATTATCTATCCTTTCATTAATGGACATTTGGATTGCTTTCAGTTTGTGGCTATTATGAAAGAGTCCATAGAAACATTTATTTTTACTAAGTCCAAGCTGGAAACAACTAGAATATCCATCAACAGTAGGATGAATAAATTGTAGTATTAGAGTATAAAAATAAATGCCCTAGTGCAGGTAAACAACCTGAGTGAACTTTCCCAAACAACATTTAGCTAAAGAAGGCAAAGTATAATCTGTCTCATTCTATTTTTTTTATTAGTCTCAAAACTGGAAAAATGGAGCTGTTATTTAAAAACCAGAATAATACAGCCTGGCCTGGTAGCACACACCTGTAATTCCAGCTACTCCAGAAGTAGAGGCAGGAGAATCACAAGTTCAAGGCCAACCTCTGCAGCTTAGCAAAAATCTCAAAACTTGGGAAAAAATAAAGAAGATAAATAAATAATAAGAAGGGCTGAGGATGTAGCTTAGTGGTAAAGCATCCTTGAGTTTAATCCCTAACACAAGGAAAAAGTCAGGAAAAATACAGTTTTGAGGAAGAAGAGAGAGCGACTAGGAATGGGTACATAGGATGAACCTATAGGATATATTTTTTTAATATTTATTTTTTAGTTTTAGGTGAACACAATATCTTTATTTTACATTTATGTGGTTCTGAGGATTGAACCCCGTGTTTTATGCATGCTAGGCGAGCACTCTACCACTGAGCCACAATCCCAGCCCCTCTTTTTCTTTTTTCTTTTCTTTTTTTGAGACTATTTTCTTTGAGAGCTGGGGTTGTGATTCAGTGATGGAGCACTTGCCTAGCACATGTGAGGCACTGGGTTAGATTCTCAGCACCACATATAAATAAATAAAATAAAGGTCCATCAACAACTAAAAAATTTTTTTAAGGAATATTTTATTTTTCTACATTTATCTTGTTCATTTATTTATGTGGTGTGGGGGAGCAAACCCAGTGTTTCACATGTGCTAGGCAAGTTCTCTACCACTGAGCTGCAACCTCAGCCCAGGGTAATATTTCTTATTCAGGGTAGTGATTATACTGGTGTGCTTACTTTGTGAAAATTCATCAAGTCCTATATTTGTGATGTGTGCCCCCTTCTGTATGTGTGCTATACTTCAGTAAAAAATTTCATATTTTAAAGATGAAGTGTCATTATCACCAATATGGTAAGCTTCTTGGAGAATGGTAGGGAAGGGTCAATGAAGAAATTAATTTAGATTGCAAATAAGACTGCACAGAAATTAGTACTTATTGTACAATGCTTATAGTATGCAAAAAGGTCCAGTCACTTGGGAAAGCAGGTTGACAGTCTCTTTTTAAGCTCAATATACATTTACCAGACAACCCAGCAATCCCACTCCTAGTTATTTACCCAGGAAGAATGAAAACATGTGTCTCCAAAAAACCTGTATGCAAATGTTGAAGGTAGATTTACTCATAATAACGCAAAACTAGAAACAGATTGAGTGTCCATCAGCTGCTGAATAAACAAGTTGTGGTACATTTGCATGGTGAAAACTATTCAACTATAAAAAGAAACTATTAAAACATGCAATAAATTACTGAGGCATGCAACAATATGAACTACAAGCATATAACTAAGTGAATGAAGTCAGACACAAAAGGCTACATACGGTATGATTCCATATACATGACATCCTGGGAAAGGAAAAGCTATAGGAATAGAAATTAGACTGACAGTTGCTAGGGACTGGAGTGAGAAGAAAATTGATTACCAAGGGGCACAAGGGAACAATTGGGGATGGCAGAATGTTCTATATTTTGATTGTGGTGATGATTATACAATCATCAAAAACTCAATTATCTGTTCCTAAAATGGATACATTTTATATCCCAGGTTTGGTTTGGTTTTGTGGTGCTTGGATTGAACCCAGGGCCTCAGCATGGTTATGCAAGTGCTCTACCACTAAGCCACATACCTAACCCCAGTATGCCGGTTTACATTAATAAACTTAAAAAAAAAAATAGCACTTTAGGAATCAGTACAATAAAGTGACATGCATGAGATGGGTAATATGGAGTTGTAAAAGAGGCATAAAACTTGTGTTGTGTGAATGTTCTGGTGGCCTAAAAGCAATCTTGGAATAAAATGACCTCGTAAAGCAAAAAAACAAATGAACACACATTCATTCTAATTTATCCCTCTATCACCTCCCATCTCAAGAAACAGAAAATGTTGCTTCTATAGAAATCACGGATAACAATAGTTTACAAAATCAAGTGCCTACTATGTGCCAAGCATTATCCTAAAAGCCTCTGCATGTGTTTAATCCTTAAAACAACCCTAAGTGTAAATGGGGACAGGATTTCAATGCTGGGCAATCTGATTTTAGGGCACATGCAATCTCACTTTTCAAGCATGGTTGATACTGCATTGCAGAGAGATTCCCATTCATTGTGGGCAGAGTAATCACTATTCCAATAATTGCTACGGAATGTGAATTACTTTCCTCAAAAAGGTAATTTCATTGCTGCTTCAAAATCCAGGTGTTCGGGCTGGATGTAGCTCAGTTGGTAGAGTGCTTGCCTTGCATGCACAAGGCCCTAGGTTCAATCCCCAGCACCACCAAAAAAAAAAAAAAAAAAAAAAAATCAAAGGTCAATGTGGCAGCCCAGCCACAAAGATGCCTATCAATGATTCTTGCCTCCTTGAATGAACACATCTGGGTGATCCCTTCCCACATTGAATAGTATTAGTAATTTTACCTCTAAAACCAATAAAATTTTTGCAGAAATGATAGAAGGTGATGTCTGAAGATAGGACATAAAAGACATTACAGCTTCTGTCTTGCTTTCTTGGATCTGATTTTGTTCCAAAAGCTACTCCCTGGGATGCAGATTGTTTTGATAAAAGGGTAACAATAGCTTCCATCCCACTACTACTTTGTTACCCTGACATCAAGAGAAAGGATCTTTGTGTCCTCTCCTTAAGTCTAGGTGGGCTTCTCACTGCTTCAACCAACAGAGTATGGTGGAAGTCAGGTTATGTGATCCTTGAGGACAGGTCAGATGTAATGCAGCTTCAACTTTGTTCACTGGGACCCTTATGCTTGGGCGTGTACTTCTTGGCAACACCTAAGAGGTCTGATTACCTTGGTGGGAAAGGCTAAACTATATGGAGAGGTCACATAAGTGCTCTCTAGTCAGCACTAGACTTTCACTCATCCCAAGCACTAAACTGTTTCAAAAGTAAACAAGCCTTCAGAGGGAATTCTAGCCCTGTTCATGTGTCCCTCAGCTTTTGTTTTTGGTGCCAGGGATTGAAGACAGGGGCACTTAACCACTGAGCAACATCCCCAGCCTTTTTTTTTTTTTTTTTTGAGACAGGGTCTCACTAAGTTGCTGATGCTGTCTTTGTACTTGCCACCCTCCTGCCTCAGCCACTGGAATTATAGGCCTGCACCACTTGCCTGTGTCCCTCATTTTCTTAATCTTCCAAGCTCAGAACCCAATTTTGTGGAATAGATAAGATCCTCACAGTGCCCTGACCAGTTTTTTTTGACTAAACAGGGTTTGTAGGCATGTTAAGATTGTTGTTCGAAGTCATTATTGGGGATTTATTGGGGATAATTTGTTCCGCCGTGATATTAACCAGCACAGTCTGTGACTCCTAACAGTTCTAGCCTTCTAGACAATGGCCTCTCCTCCAAGGCACTTGAGCAGGCCATCAGATGAAAATGCATAGACTACAGGTAACATATGGTTCTTTGTTTTTAAATGGTGCTGGAGGTCAAATCCAGGGCTTTGTGCATATAAGTACTCTACCTGAGCCACATCCTCAGCCCGACATATGATCTTAAACTGAAGAGGATTAAGTCAAAGCCTGCTAAATTACTCTTGAGGCCTTTCCAAAGGACTAGATGATATCTTGTTTATTGTGCCATATTCTCCACCTTCAGTAGTTTTTTTTTTTTAGAGAGAGAGAGAGAGAGAGAGAGAGAGAGAGAGAGAGAGAGAGAGAGAGAGAATTTTTTTAATATTTATTTTTTAGTTTTCGGCGGACACAACATCTTTGTTTGTATGTGGTGCTGAGGATCGAACCTGGGCCGCACGCATGCCAGGCGAGTGTGCTACCGCTTGAGCCACATCCCCAGCCCCTTCAGTAGTTTTTAAGACTGAGTAAATGGTTAAATTATTTCACATATAATGATTTTCAATCTATTTAGAGAAAACAAATTATACATTTGTAGAGATAACCAAAGTGTGACAGTGACAATGCCTGAAAGGTGCTTCTAATATAAAGACATATTAACACTAGAGCTTCAAACTGATACATTCTTTTGAGATGGCAACTCAAAAAGCTTTGACTTGTGCCTTATGAAAATTTATCCTGAGCTATATTTTGGATAATAATGATAAATGTTAAAATCAAGGAACAATGGTGTGATGTTGTCCAATTTTCCACTTGAGTAAAATCCCTGAGGACAATAACTTCGTTGGTTTTGCTACTGCTACTCTTGTTGCCTTGCATAGTGTAATGCAAGCACTTAAGCTATATAAATGAAATCACAGAAGAGAATGATTTTATCCTCTGATGGATATTAAATTCCCTATTAGTCTATAAGCAAGACACTCTGTTTTCAGGGTTGAAGGGGATAATGGTGAACTGGCAAAAAATAAACTCAAGGGCCAGGGATTAAAAAAAAAGAGGAGGAGGAGAAAGAAGAAAAAAGGAGAAAAGGGAAGAAAAAGGAAAGGAGGAGGAGGAGAAGAGGAGAAGAGGAGAAGGAGGAAGGAGAAGAAAAAGGGGAAGAAGATGAGAGGACGAGAAACAAAAACTAATAATTGTACTTGAGTCAATATGAATTTTTATTAACACACATTTGTCAAAGTCTGTACAAACCAAAACATTCCTGTGTTTTAAAATGTCCATTATTACAAACATACAAAGAAACAAAAGGTGTTACCAAAAGTTAGCTACTCAATTTCATGGCAAAACAGTGTCATGATTTTTAAAAATTAAAATTTCAAGACTAAGGATTCTTCTTTCCCTTTTAAGAACTTATGGAAAGTTAGAAAATGTGTGGGTTTGCTTTATATTAAATGCCAAGACCTTAAAAAAAGATTTAGTATAAAACTAAATGTTTTTATATTATCATACTTCAGATAACAGAGTTTCTCAGTCTTTAAAATTTAAAAAAAAAATGACTGTCATTTTTCTCAATCTTTTCCCCATAGCCAATGCAAATACATCTAAAAAATATTATCTGACAGTTTACCTAAAAGCTTCTCATTCAAAAAGTTACAAAACTATTTAGCACTGCTGTTCCCCTTGCTTAGAAGGGAAAATTACATCCCCTACCAGGGCGATATCTAAGCCACATGGTCCACTGTATCTCTTAGCAGAAGGAAGCCACCCTTTCCACATTTCTGTCCAATTATGTGCATGGCTCCACTTGTGAGAATGCTATCACAAATTATAGAACATCTGCTTTTAACAAGCTAAATTTACTGCTACAATTTTGGTAGACTGAGACTACAAATGTCATCTGCCCTCACCATTACCTTTAACTCTAGTACCCCCCTGCATTAATAATTCCAGGGTTGTTGATTTTGTTACTTCACAGCATATACTACACACATCCCCAACTTCTTTAAAAAGACCACATAGAGTACCTGAGAGTACAGCTAGAAATACATGTCTATCCCTTTCCTAGAAAAGTGAATCCATGTGCCTATTGGGATAAGAAGGGAAGACAGGCCACACATATCTCTGGCTGACGCCAAACTGCTTCTGAGAAGCACATGTATTCAATACCTTTCCATTAAAAGCAGGGAGTATACAGGCTGGGGTGGGTGAAGAGAAATAGGAAGAAAGTACAATGATATTATTTCTCCCATTTGGACTAATAGTCCATACTTGAGCAGTTTGTACTGATCCCAGAATGTCCTATAGTTGAACCATTTTGAATCTGCTCCGTTTAATAAAAAAAAATAATAATAATAAATGTTTTCTGACAATAATAGCCCAGTATAACAACTTATATAGGTAAAGGGTATTTTTTTTTTTAAAAGAAGTGGCAGTATGAGAATTTAAAATCAATTACCTAAAAGAATAAAGGAAGTGGGGGAGGGAAATGTCCAGTACAACCTGGACAACCTTTCTTTCTGCCCTTACTTAAAAAGACAGACTGTTCAAAATCTTTGCAACCTCCCTTAAGTATCTCCTTAAATGATCTTCCAAGAAATCCTCTAAAAGGCACTTAACTCCATACATGTACATTGAAATTATTTTACCTTGGTAATCGGTTTTTAAGACTCTAAAGTTAACAAGAAAGAAAATATCTGATGCATTTTCTAAAAGCTAGAGAATAGGACTTTTTTTTCCCCCAAGAGGCATCGCTTTTACAAGAACAACTAGCTAGGCTACCATTATTCTTTTATCAAGAAAAAGTTTCTTTTTTTTAAAAAATAAATAAAACTCTGGCTATACATAGTACAAAGTTCATACATAATATACCTGGAAAAAAACCCAAGAGTATACCCTGAAGCAAAAGATTTATTGGAGAGAGAAAGCCTCTCTCATTGTACCAAGTCTTAAGGTGGCAGTTTTTAAAGTTAGAGGGTGGCAGTGATATACAATTAATGCCAAACTATTTGCTCATGGGTATGGCAGGATGCAAGGATGGACATAAAAAATCATTCTGCACATAACACTGAGCAGTGACCACCACAAAAGAACAAAGAGTAGAACCAAAATACATAGAGAAATAGGAAAGGGAAGAAAGGGATAGAAGGAAGAAAAGGGAAGAGAGAGAAGAAAAGAGGAAGAGATGGTAGAAGAGGAAGAAAAGCATAGAAGGAGTAGTGTGAGAGAAAGAGGAGATTGAACCTGAAATCCCAAACACTCAAGCATGCAGTCATAACACAGCACAAACTAGATGTTTCCATTCAGCTCACTGCAATCACACAAAGAAGGATAACTGTAATAAAATAGAGATTCTTAAGAAAGTTTGCAATTCCCAGAGAACAGCCAGGTCTCCAACCATAACCCAGGATGACCCCATCTTCTGTTGCTGAAGAGCCTCCTGAAGTCTGTCATGGAGAGGTAATAGCTCCTGACTTTTCGGACTTCTTGCTCTTGGACAAGGCAGCTGCCTGCTTCAGGAGTTCTCGATTTTTGGCCTATAAATTAAATAAACAAATAAATCAGTGTGAGAGGATGTTTGCCCAGGAAAGAATATGTTTTCCATGCAGAGTAATTATTAATAGACAATAATAATTAATAATGGGATAAGTTTTCCAAGCAGATGTGAAGGCAGATAATGTAGAGGGTCAGGAAGAGATGAACCATTCTAGAGGTAAAAACAAATAATAGAAAACTCTAGGGCTTGAGATTTGGTTTAAGGAAAAAAGTATTTGCTAATCTCTTGGCATCCACTATTACAAAAGGATGTTCCATGTAATACAAACTATGCAGTGCCTTAATGAGCAAGTTAAACAGAATCCATAATTCAGACACCTGGAATCACATCTGGCACATTCCAAAATCAAGGAACCATTTACAAATTTTCTGAGAGGAAAAGATCAGAACATATCCAAGAGTAAAACAAAAGGTATCCAAAAGGGAGACTAATTAGTAATATGTAATTACATTAGTAATATGTAATATTACATTAGTAATATGTCAATACTTAAGAAAAAAAAATCTAAGAGAAAATGAATTAAAATACACTCAGCCAAGTATTCTAGTTACCACATAATAAGCAGTCACCTGCAATTGTTCTGTGACTTCTTTGTGCGTTTTCTCCATTTGGTTCATTTTTGCCCTCATCTGAGATTCCTGGTACTGAAAATCAGCCTTCAACTCGGTAATCTGAAGGAAAAAAGGCAGAGTGACCATAAGAAATTTCTATGTAATGAGAACTGTTTTGGTATCAGACAGCTAAGCGGTCCAACAAATTAACAAATCCAGGGCTGACCTGCAGATCCATACCTATGTCAAAGCCAGGGAGTATCCTACTTTTTTCTAAAGCTTCCCTGAAAATTATAAAAAATCCCGAACTAACATTTCTTTTCTTTCTTTTTTAAGAGACAGATTTCTCACTGTTCCTCAGGATGTCCCTTAAGTGAGATGAAATGATCTTCCTGCCTCAGTCTCCTGAATGCTGCGACTATAGGTATGTGTCACCGTGCCCTGCTTTGAATTAGTATTTCTGTTAATTAACCACTAGCAGGTTTTTAAGATTTCATGTTTTGCCCCGCTCTGCTGGGGAATGAACCCAGGGCTTCATGCATGCTAGACAGTGCTATATCACTGAGCTACATCCCCAGCCCTTTTTATTTTGAAATGTTATTCAAGGAGCACAAAGAAGGGACATGTAAGTCAGAAAGATTATTTTGAGTTTGAGAGGCACAGGAGCAACAGAGGCACATAAATTAAGAATGATATCTAAGCAAAGGCAATGGTGTGGACACAGGCAGAGAGATGTGAGATAATTGAGAGATTATTTGAATGAATGATAACTTGGATAGTGGCAGGAGAGGAGGCTAAAGAAAGGCAGGCAGGCCAGGCATGGTGGTGCTTGCCCATAATCCCAGGGACTTGGAGGCTAAGGCAGGAAGACTGCAAGTTAAGGCCAGCCTCAGCAACTCAGAAAGACCCTCTGCCAAATAAAAAATAAAAAGGGCTGGGGATGTGACTCAGTGGTTAAATGCCCCTGGGCTTAATCCCCGACCAATAAAAAGGCTGGCATGATGCAGAACAGCTTGTCCCAAGCCAGGGAATGTGTCCTTAATCCTGAAATCTATATGAAACAGTCTATTTGTTTTTGCTCCTTTCAAAACTCCAGTTCTGCAAAGCAGTAAAAACAAGTGTTTGTCTGTTTTGCAAATGTTCTGTTATGTGCCATTCTGATCTGGTCCATGAAGAGAATATACTTGGGTCTACTTTCATCTGTCAGTCACATTGTAAAGTTGAAAGAATATGGGTGTCCCCCCATGAATCCACCTGGCAGGATGGTGCCTTCTCTACTGGCAGGATATAGCCCAACACAGTAGAAAGTACAAGAGAGTCAGAATGGGTAATAAATTCATAACCTTGTTCTGCCATTTACTAGCTGTGTGATGACACACTATTTACCCTCTTTAGGTCTATCTCCCCATCTATAAAATGAGATAGAAATCAGATGAAAATAATGCATGCAGTGGTGCATGCCTATAGTTTCAGTACTTGGGAGGCAGGAGAATTGCTTAAGCCCAGGAATTCAAGGCCAGTCTGGGCAACAGACTTCATCTCAAAAAAAAAAAAAAAAAAAGGAAAAGCAAAAGATAATTTAACATTGTAAATGTCTGTGAGTCACTTAGAATGAATCACAGCATTCTGAATGTGGTATAAGACAACATATAGCCATGGAGGGAGGAACAGACATAAGGGAGGTAACTGGAGCCCTAAAAGAAAAACAGCAGAGATATTCTTCACCTATAAAATTATGATAACAGGGGCTGAGGTTGTGGCTCAGTGGTAGAGCACTTGCTTTGCACACGTGAGGCACTGGGTTCAATCCTCAGCACTATATAAAAATAAATGAACAAAATAAAGTATTGTGTCCATCTACAACATATATATATATATATATATATATATATATGAAATTATGATAATAATTTTTGCCTCAAAAACTTGTTATATGGGTGGTTAATACATAAAGGCATTTAGAGTAGAACTAGGCACAAAGTCAGCAATAAAAGTTTTTGTTATGAAGGCAAAAATGAGATACTCTTAGCCAGGTGCAAAGGCACATGCCTATAATTCCAGCAACACAGGAGGCCGAGGCAGGAGAAATGCAAGTTCAAGGCCAGCCTGGGCAACTTATGGAGACCATGTCTCAAAATAATATAAAAAGGGTATGGGTATGTAGTTCAGTGGTAGAGCTCTTGCCTATTATGCATGAGGCCCTGGTTTGATTCCTTAGTACTCCTGCCCCAACCCCACAAAATGAGATACTAAGAACCCAGAAAGAAAATAATAATAAACAACAAATTAGAACAAGAATGTCAAAAGCTCCCCTCCATCTAAGAGAGAGGGAGATGGTGCATGCATGTAATCCCAGTGACTCAGGAGGCTGAGGCAAAAGAATTGCAAGTTCAAGATCAGCCTCAGCAACTTAGCAAGACCCTGTCTCAAAATAAAAAAAATATAAGGGCTCAAAATGTAGCTCAGTGTAAAGTACCCCTGGGTTGAATCTCCAGTATCAAGGGGGGCAGGGAGAAGAAGCAGATGACTCTTAGACCAAAATAAAACTGGTCTCATTCTAAAGATATTAATGTAAATATACTAGAAATATAAGAATATAGAAAATATTCTAATGTGCAGATAGAATGTTAACACTTAAAATATTAATAAGGTATTTATGTATTTATAGTGGGTCACTTAGTAAAGGAGCTGTAGCAATGACACAAAGCAAGTGATGCAAGAGTCATGGAGAGGGGCTCACCTGAACACTGTCCAGGGAGTGGGGAGCCTTGGCCTCATACTCTGAGTATTACTGGACCATGGATACAGCCATCCCCATAACAGAAATGGAGACAACAGATTCTTTTAGCCTGACAGCATTAAACATTCCAATTACATAAACACTATTTCTTATTCCAACTCCATGGTTATTCAGCATCTTCTGACTACAATCATCCAAGGTAATTCATGCTGAGAATAGTAGAATGCTATTGTATGTCCCACTGTGAATTAAGAAGTAGACACTGTGGTTTTATACATTATCTCTGTTACCTTGGTTAACAAATGTCCTGCCTAAAAAGTAGAACTCCCTTTTTTCTTTAAAATATATTTTTAAAATATTTTGTTTTAGTTGTAGTTGGGCACAATACCTTTATTTTTATGTGGTTCTGAGAATCGAACCCAGGGCCTCACACATGCTACTCTACCACTGAGCCACAACCCCAGCCATGGAACTCCCTTCTTAATGCTAAGAAAACTCAGCTTTTTGAACCCACTGGGCTAAGGTAATTGATCTAGGTAATGTCATCCCATGAGTAGTACTGGCAAATGGTTAGCCTCTCCCTAGGACATCCCACCTTGCCATGGGATCTCTCTAAAAGCATCAATAGTAATTACTCAATAAATTTCAAATAGAGTTATCATCATGTTCCATATACCTTACCCTTGCATCATTCTGGTCTGAAAAGTGTTAACTAACCATACCTTTTTTTCTTTCTCTAAGATCATTTGATCCTTTTGATGCAACATCTTCTTCAGAGTAGCTACCTCTTCTTTCAGCTGAGCAATGATGACAAAGTGGTCAGTGCCAGGTGAATCCAGAGCCAGGTCTGGGGAAAAGCTGAATAGAAAAATGGAGGGGGAAAAATCATAACTTGGATGGATATATACTTTTCTCTATCTCAGGATGCATCCTAGGCCACTTGACTATGAACTCCTCAAGGGCAGGAGTAACTATTTGAATTACTAGTATTGAGAACATTGCTTCATATACACAGACTCAACAGCATTTGCTGAACTGGAACTACACAGGTTAGGTGATCCTCAGAATGACACCAACCCAAACCATAACACAGTGGCATCCTGTAGCATTTTCTCTCAAATTCAGGATTAAAGTAAATGCTATATTCTAAGAGCCTCAGATACTACTTCAGGTTCACTAAAGGTCCCCAAGATGAACCTCGGAAAGAGCTATAACATCTGTGATTACAAAACGTCCCTAGAATTCTGGATAGATGATAGATTATAAGTGCATATATTATGAAGAGATGTGGCTTCTGAGAAGATGCTGCATTTCATACCAGTTCTTTTTGTGAAAAACTAATAGGAAGGGGTTGGACATGGTACTACATGGCTATAATCACAAAACTGGGGAGACTGAGGCAGGAGAATTACAAATTTAATACAAGCCTCAGGAACTTAGAGAGTTCTTGTCTCAAAATAAAAAATACAAAGGGTTGGGGATGTGGCTCCATGGTAAAGCATCCCTTGGTTCAAACCACAGTACCAAATAAATAAATAATAACTTAAAAAATAAAGTAAAACAAATCAACTTGCTATGACAATAGAGTAAGAATTTGTAGCTCTCTTTGTGGTTGGTTCTTCCTGTTTTTTGTTTTGTTTTCAGTGCTGGGGTTCGAACACAGGGAAGGCCTCATGCATGCTAAGCAAGTGCTCTCCCACTGAGCTACATCTTCATCTCTTTTTTAAAATTTTATTTTGAGACAGGATCTCATTAAGTTGTCCAGGCTAGCCTTGAACTCTGAGATCCTCCGCTTCAGTCTACTGAATAGCCAGGATTACAGGCATGCAATACTGTACCTAGCTCCTTCTTATATCTTAAATCACATCCCATCTTCTCTACATGGGAAGAAACTCCAAACAGCTAGCTTGACCACAGCACATACTTCCTCATAGTTACCAAGCCAAACATTTCTATGGTTAGAATTGGAAGACACATTTCATTGATGAGAACATTGTCCCCCACTCTAGTCTACATGAAGCATGTAAGAAGAATGTCGGAGGAAGAATGAACAGATTACTTTCACAAACTGATCCTTGTACAGAATTATTGGATAACAAAAAGTAAATGCAAAAGACATATGACAATCTCTCCCAGTTTCAAATGTGAAGTACCCTTATATCTGCAGCTTTACATGTATTTCAGTACTACCAAGGACCTGTCTTTTCTCAACCTAACAGACTATATAAACACACAAATACAGAAATGAATGAGACAGAGTAATGAGCTAGTAGTATAAGTAACTCATCATTGTCCTCAAGGGTCCTAATGCTCTCCTCTGTTTCTTGAGAGAAGATTCCTCTCCTACCAATAAATTGTGACAAAATCAGTTCTGTCTATCCTGTGTTAGGGGCTTATCTCTCTGACTCTCTAACTCTTCGTCCAATAAGAACCGCCGGAAATGAAAAAAGAGGATTAGGTTAGCAAGACAGAAAAGCCAGTCTTTTTTCAAATACCTTCAATGACAGGGAGCTCATTACTTATCCATGAAACTTGTCTCTCCCAAAAGCTGTTAATATAATAATCTTCCTTAAGTTGAACCCAAACCTGCCTCCCTATAACCCTGCACATTGGTCCTCAAATGCCACACAGAAGTCCTATCTTTCAGGAGGGAGAATAAAATGAAATTACAAGGAAAAGAAGGATCTTAAGAAACAATAAGCCACAAGGCCTGCCTCAATGCCACTCACTACCCAAAACTGCTTTTTAAAAATTTCCTATGGAATAATAAATAAATATGGTCAAAAAGTAGCTGGTACATTTTCTCAAGGAAGGAATGAATGATAACCATTATCTCAGATTTTCCTTAAGTTAAAAAGTTTTGTTACAACTTTAACAAATTAAAAATAGTGAGGCTGTAATTTTTGAAAAACAGAAAAGACCAAGTCTTATGATTATGAAACTATTATAGAAAGTTAAGATAATGTGTTCTGTCTGTACAATATAGGAAGCTAATGGATAAAGAATAAGAGAAGAAAAAAATATGCCTTGGTACTAAATAAATAGGAGAGGAGAATGTGGCAGTATAGAAAGATCATTGAAAAGTTAAGGAGCAAACTTGCAGAAGGCATAAAGAATAAATATTAAAGAGTAAGAGCATAAATTTAAAAGTATATGAATATTTTAAAGGTGGGGACAGGAAAGTGGTTTGTGATTAATTAAAAAGTGAGAGGAAGGTAAATAATAGACATTTTGACTGATAATACTTGGTACATAGGTATGCATTTAAAATTTTTTAGTCTGTGTGATTTAAAAAAGTCTTAAAAAAACAAAGCACTATTGGAATGCTTCAGGTTTGTTTGTTTGTTTGTGTACTAAGGATTGAACCCAGAGGCATTCTACCACTGAGTTATATCCCTACCTCTTCTTATCTTTTGAAACAGGGTTAAAGTTGGCCTCAAACTTGAGATTCTCCTGCCTCATTCTACTGAGTTACAGGAGTGCAAACTGTACCCAGCTCATAATGTTTTTTTTTTTTTTTTAACTTTTTTAGTTGTTGAAGGACCTTTATTTTATTTATTTATTTGCAGTGCTGAGAATCAAACCCAGTGCCTCACACTTGCAAGGCAAGTGCTCCACCACTGAGCCACAATCCCAGCCTCTAAGAATTTATTTTAAAAATAAATTAAAAGCAGCATTTCTCCTTTATTTTTAAAAGCAGCATTTCTCATTTATTTTTAAAAATAAATTAAAAGCAGGAGAAAACCCACAAATAGTAAACAGGATAGCAAAATGTAATTTATCCTGTGTTATGAATGTTTTTTTAAAAATACAAATAAGGGGGCTAGGGCTATAGCTCAGTGGCAGAGTGCTTGCCTAGCACTGGATTCAGTCCTTAGCACCACATAAAAAATTATAAGTAAAATAAAAAGGCATTCTGACCATCTACATCTACAAAAAAATTTTTTTTAAATAAAAATAAGGGGAATAAAATGTTAAGACTGGTAATATAGGATATTCAAATAGAACTTATGTATGTAAAAAATTTTTCCAGATTTCCAATTTTGAGATTAAATTATACTTTAAACAATCAGTATGTTCATCTAAGGAGAAAATGATCTTTTAGTATCTTCTATGGATAAAAGACCTCAAGAATCAGCATCCTACATGAGGAATACAGTCACTGCTGGTGACTGAACTCTGAGATGCAATAAAATAGTCTGAACAGAGAGATGGAGTTTTTAGTTTTGTGTATCCATGGCAATGGACAGCAAAAACAGTGCAATATCTCAAGAACAGAATAAACTACTAAATGATAAACTTAAAGACTACTTGATTAAACTAGAGGACATGAAAGAGCTTTATCAAGGTCATTCAATCCAACCTGGGTTATAAATGAGCACAAACAGAAATGAAAACTCTAAAGGTATAGGTCTTTAAAAAGAAAAAAAAAAAAAAAACCTAGAAAAAGAAAAAAAATAAATAAATACAGGTATAGGTCTTGGCTTGAATGCCCTGCTTCTATATATAGAGGTGAGAGGATCATTTGGGCCTGGGCAATGTAGTGAGACCCTGTGTCCTAAAAAACAAAGAAAACTTCATTCCTTTAAGTAGTTTTTGAAGGGTCATGCACAATGACAGAGATGATAGACTATCTGCCTCACATGCTTTCAGAATGGCCAGGCTGACTGCTCAGAGAATAGAAAAATTGGTCACAAAGATGGTCTTCATGGTTCCTTCCCTCATGTAATCTGAACATTTAATTACATGTTTCCAGAAGGTTTAATTCAAGAAGTTTAACATCAATTAAACTAGTTGTAAAAAGACACTATCTTGGTAGGGTCTGAAATAAATTTAATGAAAAAGACAGTGGGAAAGAGTAAATTTTCACAGATGTTTTATACTCTGATGAATAAATTCAGCCCTGGTAAGTCTATTTGAGGGTCTGTTCCTGTATCCACCACTGAATGGGAGGGAGAACTGTGAATGGGAGACATTTTCAGACTGGAGATGATTCCAAGGACTTAGGGACTGTGTCAGGTGATCTCACTTCAAGATGCCCAGGCCTGGAGGAACAGGAAAATGGTTGGCCCCAAGACTCTGTTGGGAAGTGGCCCACTGCACCAACACGGACGGGGCACTCTGGATATTAGGACAAAGCAGCTCGTAAGAGGAAGCATCGCTGAGAAGGAGAGAGGAAAGTGAGGAATAAAATTATGCATTTAGACAGGCTGGAAATAAAACAAAAATATTTAAATGCATCTCATTCTCTTCTGATCCAGTATCTGCACTGGGCTGGCTTTCTGAATGCTATGAAAGTATGGAATACCCCTCACACAACACTGCGTTAACCCCACCTGTCTCTGCTCTACCTCTGAAAACCAACTCCTACCCTGCCTAGAGGAGGCTACAGGCACAGACCACAATGAAAAACATTCAGTGTTTATCAGTGTAGGACAGTTAGTTAGTGAACTGCAGAATTCAACTGCTATTAAATCCAGTTACAAGTTACACATTCTTATGCTTAAATAAGATTTGACTGTTATCAGTACTGCTGTTTATAAGTACTGTTAAATATATCAGCTATCAAGTAGCTAATCCCTCAATGGTTCATTGACAGCTGTAGACTAGCTCCAAGGTACAACCTAAAACATATTCTAGTTTTAGGAACTGTGTATGCATTTCAATTGTGTGTGCACACATACTCCAACTGGCTCACCTGTCTCCATTTGTTGTGATTGAATCAAACTTGGATTTTTTCTTTGGGATTTCATTTTGAATTGAAGATGTAGAAAGTGTTTTCTGGCTTTTAATGGCAAAAATAGAGAAATACATGTTAGAAATCAAAGATTAACAAGATACCACAATGAAAGTCTGTCTATTGAACCAATATAAGATAGTAGCTTTTCTGTGCAAGACCTTATTTTCTTTTTCTTTCTTTCCTTTTTTTTTTCTTTCTTTCTGGGATTGAACCAAAGGCCTCATATATGCTGGGCAAGTACTCTATCATTAAGCTACAACCCTGATCCTTCTTTTATTTTGAAACAGTCTCCTAGTTGGCCCAATGGTGCACACCTGTAGTCTCAGCACCTCAGGAAGTTGAGGCAGGAAGATCACAAGTTTAAGCCAAGTCTCAGCAACCAAATGAGCCAAGTGAGACCCTAAGCAACTGAACAAGACTCTCAAAAAAAAAAAAAAAAAGAGGGCTGGGGATATGGTTCAGTAAGCACTCCTGGGTTTAATCCCTAGTACCAAAAACAAAAACAAAAGAAGAGAAAAGAAACAAGGTCTCCCTAAGATTCCCAGGCTGTCCTTGAACTTGCAATTCTGCTTCATCCTCTAGAGTAACTGGGATTGCAGGCAAGTGCCAACATGGCTCAGATAAGGTTCTTATCTTAACTCTTACAAAAAAGCTTCTTAAGTAGCCCCCAGACCTTTTTACTTCTGATGCTTCTCCACCAATCAAGGTTGTTTTTAATGCAGATTTAGTCTCTCCCATGCACAGATCCCTTCAGTGGCTTCCTACTAACCCAACTTCACACTCCTTTATCAGGTCTGCATGATCCTTTTTCCTTCATTCCCCAACTCTCAATCACAAGCTCCAGCAGAGTAAAAGGACTTCAAATTCTTTGCAAATGCTATTCCTTTAGCCTAGGATGCCACTGCCCAGTCTTATCTGATGATCCAGCTCATCCCGAGATCCAGTTACCTAACAGCTCTTCTCTAAGCGTGCCATGCCTTGTTTCCTGAGATGGTTAATTATTACTGCCTCCCATACTTGTATCTTGATATGTTCCCACTGTGGTGCCCTTCACATTAGGCTTCAATGATTTGATTACAAGTCTGTCTTCTCTACCAGACTGCATACTCTTGGAGAGCAGCATGACTCTTTTGTTCACCTCTATATGCCCAGTAGAACCCCTGGTCCATTAGAGTACTTAATGTCTGCTGAATAAACAAAGTCATGATGGTAATAATAAAAAATAACTAAAATATATTGAATACTTCCTATGTGCCAGTTATAAAACTAATCACTGTGCATGCACTATATAATTTATCTTTACAACAACCCCATGAGGTAATACTATTATTTCTTTTATTTTACAGATGAGAAAACTTGCCCAAGATACCCATAGAAAACTTGGCAGAGCCAGGATTCAATCCAGAGCCACAGATCTTAACACAACTACAGATACTCTGACAGGAAGGTTAAGGCATCAATGGAAGAACATTTTTTTGACTGGATTTCACTCTAACAAATCTAGAATATCTATCACTCTCCTGGCCAAATACACATTTTAAAAGCTGTGTCCCTCAGGAAGTGAAATGTCTTTTAAAGAAAAAAAAAAAACATTGAAAGGATGACAAGAACACTACACATGGAGTAAGTTCCACAAAACTTTAAGACACAATACAAAGTCAGAAAATTCTGACACCTTAAAGTGCACCAAATGCAGTGGGACACACCTGTAATCTTAGCTACTCAGGAGGCTGAAGCAAGAGGACTGCAGGTTTTAAGGCCAACCTGGATAACTCAGCGAGATCCTGTCTTAAACAATAAATATATAAAAAGGGCTGGAGATGTAACTCAGTGGTAGAGAAGCTCTGGGTTCAATCCCTAGTGTTTTTTGTTTTTAAGAGAGAGAGAGAAAATGTTTAATATTTATTTTTTAGTTTTCGGCGGACATTGTTTGTATGTGGTGTTGAAGATCGAACCCGGGCCACACGCATGCCAGGCGAGCGTGCTACCGCTTGAGCCACATCCCCAGCCAGTGTTTTTTTTGTTTTTAAAAAAAAAAAAGAAAAAAAGAAATCAATCAATCTCCATGGCTCTTGGAAGATACAGGAATTATAAAATTGACATTATAAATTATAAAATATGACAAATGGGATTCTTCCTACAGGCTTGTCACCAAAGAGAAAATGGGAAAACTTATACAATATCTTCCCTGACTGCCCAACATCTCACCTACCTAGCACTTTTAGTCCTATCTCTTGCAAGGGTTACCTGGGGTTACCTGTTATAATGGCTACCACCACTCAGGCGGCTGTAATGTTCCTTCTCCTGGTGGCCTGCACGAGAAGAGCTGCTCAGGTGCTTCCTTTGCTCTTTGGTCTTCTGGAGAACACGTTTGTATGAAAGTGTGCACAGCCAGCATAGCAATTTCCCATCTACCTGAAAGACAAGGAGACAAAGATAAAGAACAGGAAATGTAGTGCAGTGACTGAGAATATGGGCACTAGGAATTAGAACCCCTGGGTTAAGTTCCAGCTCTCCCACTTGTCAGCTGTGTAACTTTGGGCAAGTCACAGAGGGCTGCTACAAGGATTTAGTAACATAATGTACATAAAACACTTAGCATGGTGCCAACATAAAAGTTGTTTAGTAAAAACAGCCTCTATTTTATTCGTGCTTATTTTGTTTTTCTTCATCTTAGCAAACACAGACCAGAGCAAAGGTCCCACAAGAACTTCAAAAGACAGATGTTTCCATGGTGCTCATTATGGAAAACTCAGCAGGGAGAAGGTAGAAGATGAAACAAAGTTTATACTTCACTTTTTAAATGGACAAATAAAAATTTTATGTATTTTAATGTATAACATGTAGTTTTTTTTTTTTTTTGTGATATTGGGGATCGAAGCAAGGCCTTGTGCATGCAAGGCAAGCACTCTACCAATTGAGCTATATCCCTAGCCCCAACATATAGTCTTGAAATGTACAGAAATTGTGAAATGGCTACATCAAACTAATTAACAGGACTTACCTTACCTTTTTTTTTTTTTGGTGTGTGTGTGGGGCATACCAGGGATTGAACTGAGCCACACCCCAGCCCAATTTTGTATTTTATTTAGAGACAGAGTCTCGTTGAATTACTTAGCGCCTCACTTTTACTGAGGCTGGCTTTGAACTCTAGATCCTCCTGTCTCAACTTCCCAACCTGCTGGGATTATAGATATGCACCACTGCTCCCAGCTACCTTACATTTTGTGTGTGCGTGTGTGTGAGAACACTTACATCTAGCAGGACATGGTAGCGCATGCCTATAATCCTAATGAGTTGGAAGACTGAGGCAAGAGGATTGAAAGTTCAAGTCCAGCCTCAGATACTTAGCATGGCCCTTAGCAACTTAATGAGGCCCTGTCTCAGAAAATAAAAAGGGCTAGGGTTGTATCTCAGTGGTAAAGCACCCCTGGTTTCAATCTCCAGTACCAAAGACAAACACAAACAAAAACTAAAAAATCTCTCTTAGCAATCTTCAAGAATACAACTCATTATTAACTATACTCACCATATTGTACAATACATCTCTTAAACTTATTCTCCCTAAATGAAATTTTATAACCTTAGACTATCATGTACCCAAACTCTCCCATACTTCAGTTTTAATACATTATATAATGGCTCACAAAATGGCATCTGGATACCTTCTCTGAGATGGAAATAATTTCCCCAGAGAAAGACGAATGGATGTGTAGCTTCCAGACACTAGTCCCTGGTGGCAGCCTTCCATTGCATAGTCTAAACTAGATAATGTTGATTCCTTTAAACAGAAGCAGCTGTGCACCAGAGAGCCAGACACAAACTAGGAAAGCAGAATGACTTCCACAACCCTCTGAAGCTGGGGTGCCTTTGTGGAGCATTTGGAATGCAAAACCCTTTGTGGAGAGCTGGGTGTAATTACTCAGGTTGCTGATATTTTATAGAATTTTATAGCCTGCATTTACAATTGCTAAAATTAGATCATATGCACCATCTCAAACAAGGGTTTGTTACATCACTGTTCTCTAACTCATCAGCAAGTTCATCAGTCTGAAACTATCCTCTTCCTTCTAACTCCACTACTTCCATTTTACACCATTCTCATCTGTCACTATTTCAAGAGCCATCCAAAGGACCACCCTACTTCTTATTCCTGGGGCCTTGTGAACTATTTCTTCATAGCAGCCGATGAGGGCTTCATTAATGTAAATGTGACTGCATACTCTTTCCTTAAAATCCAAGATTTTCTCGTCTATTATAAAATCCAAACTTTACCATGGCTAATATGATTTAAATGCAGCCTCTACCTAGTCTATAATAACTTCATTTTCTTTTCTTCCCCTTATTCACTCTGCCTTCTGTTCTCCCCATGTGCCAAGTTCATTTTTGCTTTAAGGTCTTTGCACAGTTGGTGTCTCTTCCAGGAACCTTTGCCCTCCAGAGCATCAAGAGTGCCTACTGTCTTCTCATCATTTTAGTTTCAACTCAAATGTCATCTCCTGATTGCCCAATTTAGGTGGAAACCTCACTGACTTTCTACCAGGTACTCTAAAATTTGTGTTTATTTATGTCCTTCTTTATCTTCATCCATCTCTCTCTGATACACAAGAATATAAAGTCTGTGGCGCAGAAGTGGAGTGCTAGCATGCATGAAGCACTGGGTTTGATCCTCAGCACCACATAAAAATAAAATAAAGGTATTGTGTCCGTCTATATCTAAAATAAATAAATAAACTTTAAAAAAAAGAATATAAAGTCTGTGAGAATAAGGTCTTATTTATTTAGTTCATTAGTATATTTCCAATACCTAGAATTGAGTCTGGTAGATGATAGGTATTTAATTATTTGTTTATAAATATACAAATGCACTTTGAAAAAAACTTCAATCTAGTTTATGCCATAGTTATGGGACATGATCTGAAAGCCTGATTTTAAAACACAATAGAAGACTCTGGCCAGGAAAGAATTTAACAAAGGATTATTTTTTAAATTTTTATTTTAGTTGTAGATGGACACAATATCTTTATTTATTTTTATGTAGTACTGAGGATCGAACCTAGTGCCTCACACATGCAAGGCAAACACTCTACCACTGAGCCACGACCCTACCCCCTCAACAAAGGATTAAAAAAAAAAATGCAATTCCACTGAAAGAAAATAAGTATTGAACAAGAAACTGCACAGAGAACCAAAGATAAATCTTTCCTTTAAAAATAAACTTAGGGGCTGGGGATGTGGCTCAAGCGGTAGCGTGCTCGCCTGGCAAGCATGCTGCCCGGGTTCAATCCTCAGCACCACATACAAACAAAGATATTGTGTCCGCCAAATACTAAAAAATAAATATTAAAATTCTCTCTCTCTCTCACTCTCTTTTTTAAAAAAAATTAAAAAAATAAAAATAAACTTAAAGCCAGGCATGGTGATGCATGCCTATAATCCCAGCAGCTCAAGAGGTTGAGACAGGAGGATTGAGAGTTCAAAGCCAGCCTCAGCAACAGCAAGGCGCTAAGCAACTCAGTGAGATCCTGTCTCTAAATAAAATACAAAATAGGGCTGGGGATGTGGCTCGGTGGCCAAGTGATCCTGAGTTCAAGCCCTGGCATCCCCAAAATAAATAAGTAAATAAACTAAACTTTAAACATAAAAGATAATCTTGAGAATTAAAATATCAAAAACAAATTATTGTCAGGTGTGGTGGTGCATGCCTGTAATCCCAGCTACTTGGGAGGTTGAGGTAGAAGGATTACAAGTTTGAAGACAGGGCTGGGGATGTGGCTCAAGCGGTAGCGCGCTCGCCTGCCATGAGTGCGGCCTGGGTTCGATCCTCAGCACCACATACAAATAAAGATGTTGTGTCTGCCGAAAATTAAAAAATAAATATTTAAAAAAAAAAAAACTTAAAAAAAAAAACAAGTTTGAAGACAGCCTAGGAAACTTAGCCAGACTTTGTCTCAAAATAAAAAAATGAAAAGGGCTGTGGATGTAGTTCAGTGAGCACTGACTTAGCATATGCTAGGTCCTGGGGTCAATTCCCAGCACCTAAATATACATATATAAAACACTGATTGAGCACTTAATTCTGTATCAGATTCCATTAAGGGACTCAGACATAATAATGCATCCTTTCCAACACCACTGAGGTCTGATCATCTGCATTTACAGATAAGAAAACTGGAGCACGAATAGATTAAACTGTCCAATTTCATATAACAAATTGTGAGACCCTGTCTCTAAATAAATACAAAATGCATTCTGAATCTGAATGATCCATTCTGTGGTTGTATGTGTATGTGTTGCTGAGGATCAAACCCAGAGCCTTGTGCATGCTAGGCAAGTACTCTATCAATAGATCACATCCCCAGCCACAAAGCACCCTCTCTTAATCCCTGAGTTTAGCCTTCTCTATTTTTTCTTTTTTTTTTTTTTGAAATAGGTTCTCACTATGTTTCCCAGGCTGTTCTTAAGCTTGTGATTTTCCAGTCTTAGTTTCCATCTTAGGCCATGCCATGATGCCCAGTAGATGTCTCAAAAGTTTATGAGTATGTCTAAAAATATCCCAAACGCTTAGGATTGTAACAAGTAAAAACTTAAGGAACTCTAGTATAAACAGATTTTTAAAATTAGCTATACTAATTAATATTAATACAGGTACCATTTATTGAGTTATATTACGTGTCAGCTCAAAATTGTTTTATATAACTATCTCATTAAATATCTCCATGCCCCTAGTGAAGTATCTACTTTTATTCCTGTTGAAAAAAATAAAGAAATTGATGCATAATTAGAATAAATTTCCCAGGTTCATTTAGCTAGCTCCAGGAGTAAGAAGGGACTCAGATGTGGGGGACTGCAAAACTTGCAGTATTGCCTAGACCTGGGCAGCATACAGTTATAAGCTACCTCTTGATTACTAATTCAGCTTCTCCAGTATCTTGACTCAGAGAAAGGTACCCTAGTTGGCAGGAGTACTCTGGTCACTGAAAGTTATATCCTTTCATAATAAATGAACATGTTTGGTTAGCAATAGTCAGCTCTTGAAAGCTTAAGCATCTCTGAAAATTACCTTTGACCACTGAAAAAGAATTTCTATACTATATTCTTCTAGTCAACAAATATTATTTTATTACATACCATATGCCAGGCCTTTGGAAATATATAGTTGGAACAATAAGATGGGAAAAAAAGCTAATTTTTAGCAGGAATGGACAAATACTTATTTATAAGCAAGATCATTTTTCACAATGTTACATGCTATGAAGACAATAACAGAAAGTAATTGGATATAAGGAGTAATTGTGGGAGTGTAGTAAAAGAAGGTCTCTGTGAGGAGGTAGCATCTGGGTTGAAACACTGTGGAGAGGGCACATCGGGCAAAAGAACAGCCAGCTTAAAGGTGGCAGTGTTGAGGAAATGAGACTAACATGTCTGAAGGACTGAAAGGCAGCCAGTAGGAATGGAAGAAGGGAAGAGACTGGAAGCATGACGGAAGATGAGACTGACTGCTGGGTACAGGACTTGCAAGTAAGGAAGGAGTTTGAGTTTTAGTTCAAGCATAACCAGAAACCATGGGAGATTTTTAAACAGGACACTAAATAACTATGTTCTTGTGATTTTTTTTGATGGGGGAGAAGGGGTTATCAGGGTTTGAACTCAGGGGCACTCAATCACTAAGCCACATTCCCAGCCCTATTTTGTATTTTTTATTGAGACAGGTTTTCACTGAGTTGCTTAGCATCATGACATTGCTGAGGCTGGCTTTGAACTCTTTGATCCTCCTGCCTCAGCCTCCTGAGCTGCTGGAATTACACACATGTGCCACCGTATCCGGCTTCTTGTGATTTTTTTTTAATATCTTATTTTTTTTTAGTTGTAGTTGGACACAACACCTCCATTTTATTTATTTATTTTTATGTGGTGCTCAGAATTGAACCCAGGGCCTCACATATGCTAGACAAGCACTCCACTGCTGAGCCACAAACTCAGCCCTGCTTCTTGTGATTTTTAACTTCAACATATAAAAACATTTAAAGAGCTGGGCTCGGTGATCCATGCCTGTAATCCCAGCAGCTCAGGAGGCCGAGGCAGGAGGATTGCGAGTTCAAAGCCAGCCTCAGCAAACAGCAAGGCGCTAAGCAACTCAGTGAGACCCTGTCTCTAAATAAAATACAAAACAGGGACGGGGATGTGGCTCAGTGGTCAAGTACCCTTGAGTCTAATCCCCAATACCAAAAAAAAAAAAAATTAAATTAAAGAACCAGATATCAGATATTAATACTAGTAATAGCACTATTTTAAGTCACAACCTCTTCCTACAGAATTTACTATAGACTTCTGCCAATTACTACCTAGAATACAATATTTCCAATTACAGGGATATTGATCCCTGTAATTTGGATTCTTGTAAAATGTTGGAATATAATGGCTTACATCTGATAAATTAAACAGTCTAATTATCTTCTTCAAGGCCAAGAAGAGAACCAAGAAAGGAATTCTCTGTTATATGTCTTTTTTAAAGTTTTTTTATTATTTATTTATTCTAATATGTTATACATGATGGCAGAATGCATTTCATTTCACATTACACATATAGAGCACTGTTATATGTCTTTTTAATATAATTGGCCCACTTTAATTTCTCTTAAAGAAAAAAAAATCAAGAAAAATACATATTTACCTTCTTTCTATCATCTTTCCTGTCAAACGCACACTGCTGCTTGCACTGCTCACAAGAATATGGTGGTCCATACTTCTTCTCTGAATTTGTGCAACGCTGGCATTTATTGCCAATAAATGCTGCAATTATGTTGCAATACTGACAAGGTTTGGGCTTAAAGAGGGGGAAAAATGCATCAAATAAACATGTGATAAAATACCAGTACATTTTTGTAAAGCAATAATTCCTTCAGAGTAAGTAAAAATATATTCCCAACTTTATAAATTTGCTTTTAAGTTGATCAAATGAAGCTCATTTGCGGGGGAGGTACTGGGAATTGAACTCAGGGGCACTCGACCACTGAGCCACATCCTCAGCCCTATTTTGTATTTAATTAGAGACAGAGTCTCACTGAGTTGCTTAGCGCCTCGATTTTGCTGAGGCTGACTTTGAACTCATGCTGCTCTTTTTTTTTTTTTAAAGATGTTGATGGACCTTTATTTAATTCACTTATGTATATGTCGTGCTGAGAATTAAAACCCAGAGCCTCACACATTCTAGGTAAGCGCTCTACCACTGAGCCACAACCCCAGTCCCCAAAGCTCATTTTTAATACAAACATTTTTCTTCACAAGACTATTTCTTAAATAAATGAACAAATGACAAAAACTCATTAGTACGTATGATGAGATTTCTATGAGAAATGCAACAGAACCAGCTCTTTGGAGAAACCAGCAAGTGCTTCCAAATTTCTGAAAAGGCCACTTTACCATCATCAGTGTATAAACATATCAGGAGAATGCCTGCACAGATAATGTTCTTTTTTTTTGTAGGGGTGGGGAGGTTACTGCAGATTGAACCCAGGGGCACTTTACTACTTAGCAACACCCCTAGCCCTTTTTAATTTTTTATTTTGAGACAGAAGTCTCACTAAGTTTCTCAAGCTGGCTTGGAATTTGCCAACCTCCGGCTTTAAGACTCCTGATTCTCTGGAATAACAGGCATGAGCCACTATACCTAGCTTAGAAATAGTATTCTGAACACTAACATTAAGAAGAAAAAAAAAGATAATTATTCAAAATAGTCAACTATTAACAAAGAAGTCAAGACACAGGATTCATCTTTCACCTCATCTTTTCATACTGATCACCAATGCCACTCAAGGAAAATTATAATCAATCCTGACAGAGTAACTATAAACACAGAAGTCCATTATAGTAAGTATTAAATAGATTCAAAAATGACATACTAGATATATTAATATAACTAGTTTTAATAAAAAAGTTATAATGACATTCATAGTCTACAGAAGAAAAATTTCCAAAAGAACCAGGTACTCACTGTTAGGAACAGAGAAATCTTACTTACCGTTCCATACAACTGCACATTCTGAGCACATTTCTTGCAAATTGTATTGGTTTTGCTATTAAAGAAAAAAGAAGACAAGTTTTTCTTAGATCATCTGTAAATGAATTCCTCCTTAAGTCTAAGGAATTTATTTGCTCATTGCTCAAGGGCAAGGTAAAATATGGTCTGGATACTTAATTAACTGACTTTCAAGTATCTATCTGGCCAATAGCTCTTTGAATTATTATGTGGTTATTAATTTTGTCATCTCAAATAAAATAAGTCTTCACTTAATATGAAGAGTGAGTTATTTCTGATTATGACATCTTTAAGTACCATATAAATAAAACTATCAGATATGGAAAAGACCTTCAAAATATGTTAGATCTGGGTGCAATGGCACATGCCTGTAATCCTAGCAATTCAGGAGGCTGAGGCAGGAGGATAGCAAGTTTGAAGCAAGCCTCAGCACTTAGCAAGACCCTCAACAACTCAGCAAGACTTTGTCTCAAAATAAAAAAAAACTTGGGGATGTAGCTCAGTGGTTATTAAGCACCCCTGGGTTTAATCCCCAATATAAAAAAAATTATGTTAGAATAAAATGGACTAGCAGAAAATAAATTAATTCTCTTTAATTCAGATGAATAACTGACAAATTTAAGATAAGGAATAAAGTATTTGGATTTAGAAAATAAACTCAGAGTGCTGGGAATATAGCTTAGTGATTGGGTGTTTGCTATTCAATGGTGACCTTAGACAGACTAAGGTCCTCTGTAAGTAAAAGCATATGAAAATCCCAGAGGTGGGGAAATAGACTTTAAAACCAAATATTTCATCAAAATTTCTGATTTCTCATCAGGCACACTAGCACACACCTATAATATCAGTGACTTGGGAGGCTGAGGCAGGAAGATTGAAAATTCAAGGCCAGGGGCTGGGGTTGTGGCTCAGTGGTAGAGCACTCACCTAGCACATGCGAGGCCCTGGGTTCAATCCTCAGCACCAAATAAAAATAAATAAATAAAGATATTGTGTCCAGCTAAAAAATAAATATTAAAAAAAAAGAAAAAGAAAATCCAAGGCCAGCCTCAGCAACTTAGCAAAGTCCTAAGCAACTTAGCAAGATTCTGTTTCAAAATTGAGTTCAATCCCCAGTACTAAAAAAAAAAATAATCTGATTTCTCTGAGATAAGCATTGACAAAAATGAAAATAAATAAATAAATAAATAAGATACTCAAACAAAATACTTTCCAGGGCAGGGCAATTTTCTGCTACTTAAAGAAGGCAGTTCAAGCTGAGTGTTGTGGTACACACATGTCATCCCAGTTAATTAAGAGGCTGAAAACTTAGAAAACTTAGACCCTGTCTCAAAATAAAAATTAAAAAGGTTGGGGATGTAACTCAGTGGCAAAGTACTTTCCTCGCATGCACAAGGCTCCATCCCCAGTACCACCCAAAAAGAAAAACAGTAAAGAATTGAAGTGCAGGTGCTGGGGATGTAGTTCAGTGGTAGAGTATTTGCTTAGCATTAGTGAAGCAGCACAATGCATGGGTGTGGTGGCACATACCTACAATCCCTGCAGCTCTAGAGGCTGAGGCAGGAAGATTACAAATTCAAAGTCAGCCTCAGCAACTTAGAGAGACACTAAGCAACTCAGTGAGACCATGTCTCCAGATAAAATGTAAAAAAGGGCTGGGGATGTGGTTCAGTGGTTAAGGATCCTTGGGTTTAATCCCTAGTACCCCCCCCCCAAAAAAAAAAACCACACACACACACACACACACACACAAAGAAAAATGACCTTAGGCTAGGGTTGTGGCTCAGTGGTAGAGAGCTTGCCTAGCATGTGTGAGTCACTGGCTCTCTATTCTCAGTACCACATATAAGTAAGTAAATAAATAAAGGTCTATCAATAACTAATAAAAAATATTTTTAAAAAAAAAGAAAAATGTCTTTTCATGATCTTGGATTAATTAAGGATCAAAGCTCATATCTCACCATTACACAAAAATTAATTCACGATGAATTATTGGCCTAAATGAGAAAGGTAAAACACAGCTCTAAGTATGATCCGTATGATCCATTAATAAGAAGTTCAATAGGAAAAGTTAATTGATCATAGAAATGGAAATCAACAGAATAGTGGTTGCCCACGGAAAACAAGGAGTGTTGAGGATTGACTAGGAGGAGGCATGACAGGACTGAAAGGAATGGGGGTAACATTCTGTAGGTTTAGGGGTTACTATTTGTAAAATTCTTTGAATGAAGTACTTAAGATTTGAGCATTTTGCCAGGTGTGGTGATACAAGCCAGTAATCATAGCAACTCAGGAGGAAAAGATAGGAGGATCACAAGTTCAAGTTCAAGGCCAGCCTCAACAATTTAGCGAGGTCCTCAGTAATTTAGCAAGAGAGCAAAATCTGTCTCAAAAAAATTAAAAGGGCTGGGGGGTTTAGGGTTAGGGCTCAATCCTAGTACCAAAAGGAGAGCGCAGGCAGAGATTGATTCAGGAAAGTGTAAAATGAGTTTCAAATGTGGCTAGGGCTAACAAACCTTTTATCAGGATTGTCATATTTCTAAAAGTATCTTCTTTGACCTTATAAATTTTTCATCCTCTGTATATATACATACTGGAACTTGAGGCTCATGTTTTACTGCTATGGGGTTGGTTTCTTTAGGGCTGCAAGATTATAACCCCTATATAAAATGATCAAGGACCTGAAAACTAAGTAACTTTAAAAATGTAAGCAATCAGGGATGTAGCTCAGTGGTAGAGTGCTTGCCTAGCATGTATGTGGTTCTGGGTTTGATCCTCAACACCACAGAAAATAAATAAGTAAATAAAAATTAAAAATTAAAGGAATGGCCAGGCAGGGCAGTACATACCTATAATCCCAGCTATTTGGGAGGCGGAAGCAGGAGGACTGTATATTGAGGACAGCCTATGCAACTTAGTGAGACTTCCATCTCAGAATAAAAATTAAATTGGGGGGCTGGGGTTGTGGCTCAGCCATATAGTGCTTGCCTAGCACACGTGTGAGGCCCTGGGTTCTATCTTTAAGCACCACATAAAATAAATAAATAAAGATATTGTGTTCAACTACAACTAAAAAATAAATATATATTTTAAAAAATTAAATTGAATTAGAGGGGTGGGGATGTAGCTTAGTGGTACAGCACTGCCTAGCATGTTCAAGGGTTCAATTCCTAGTACAGAAAAAAATAAAAAAAGCAATCAATGGATAAAATTTAGGATATAATGTATGTATTATACACCCTTCAATGTATCAGGAAACTGTTGAATCTGTAAATAATGTAATTCACTACTGATCTGTATATTACAATGAAATTAATTACATATCTGCACATGAAATACAAACACAGTTTTTTAAGAGGGAAGAGCCTAATAACATCTTTCATGGTCAACCAGAACTCTACCTCTCCTGCTGGTACTCAGTCCTGCAGTAGGTGCACTTCACAACTGGGTGTGCAATCCGACATTCCTGAAATGAAATGAGGATATAATTTTAAAAGGCACTCACAAATGGAAACAGCCTTCAGTAGGAAGAAGACCTGGGCACTATTCCTAGCACAGCCACTATGCTTGAGTGAGTCACTTAACTTTCTGGGCCTTATTTTCCTCCTCTGTAATATTTGCATCACTGTTGTGCTGTTGATGTGGGAGTAAGAATTTGTATGGTACTGGTCATAAATTGCAAAACAAACATATATGAATAAGACCCAGAGTGAGAATCTGAAATCCTAGATTCTAGTTCTGATTCTTGTGCTACTGTGTGATTTTGAGCAGGTTTACTTGTGAAATGAAGGTGCTAGATTAAAATCATTTTTATTTATGTATTTAAAACTTCCTTAAATCATATGTAATTTTTAGGCTAAAAAGGGCACTCAAGCGCTTGCCTTCTCTCAGATTTGGTAAACAAGGCCATCTGAGGCAATCTTGACATACAACTGTGACTTACTCCAATCAGAGACACAAACTCTGGATTATCTAAGGATATCTCAACATCACTCTTCAGTGGGCTTGGTAACTTTTATTGTTGCTCTGCAGCACTTCTATTCATTGACATAGGCACAGTGAATGAAGCAAATTTAGAGACACCGTGACTTTAGGGGTAAAAACTGGTTAAAGCGAGGACCGAAGGCCATCAACTAGATGTTTAAAAGTCATCCTGATTCGTGCGCCTCATTGGGGACTTTTTTCTTTTTTAAACAGAGCCTTGCCACCTTCGACTCAGACCGGATGAAGAGTGCCCGTGAGGTGTCCGAGTTCTAGACACTCCTCCCTGGCAGCACCCAACTCTCAAGTTTAACCCAGGCGGAGCAGGGGGTCCCTGAGTAGGCAACCAGGGCGGACCGCGTGGGCGGGGAAGGCAGCCCAAAGGAATCCCCGGAGTGGTTGGTCAGGGGCAAGTAGGGGATCCGCCGTCCCCCTCCCCCGACCTCGCGGGTTCGGAAAACAATCCCCCGCGGTTGCTAAGCACCGGGACACGCCAGCCGCGGGGGGCCTGGACTGGGCCTGGGACTCCCCCACGTGCCCCGCCGGCCCCCTGAGGGGAGGGAGCGTCTCCTCAGCTAGGCGGGCCTGCCACACCCAGCCTCAGGGACCTCGCCGGGCGTCCCGCACAACCGAGAGTTCCGGGCCGCGCCTGCTGCGTCCCCAGTTCCCGGCCGCCGCCCCAGCCCGCGCACCTTGCACAGCTGCTGCCCCTGAGACAGCGCCTCGAAGGGGAAGCGCTGGTGGCACTTGGTGCAGGCGTAGAGCGCCGCCATGTCCGGCCCGGGCCGTGCTCACCGCCCCGCGGGCCCGGCCCGCTGCTTTATCTGACAGTCTGGGGCACAACCTGGCGGTGGCGGCAGGCTGCTAGCTGCGGCAGTAGGGCGGGTTGGCGCGGGCCGGCGCGGGCGGGCCTGGGCGAACCGGGGCGGGCACCACGGCGCTGAACGCCCGTTCACTGGTTCACTTCGACGTCGATCAAGCAGGAGGGGGCGAAATGAGAAGCTTTACACCACTCTGATTCGATCTGAACTGGAGTACGCCACTGTGACGCGCGAGGCCGCGATTATGTAAAGCGCAGTCACGCGGGGGCGCTGCCTAGGGAGAGACAGTCTCGCGACCAGGACCTCGGAAGCGCTCAGGCTCCTCCCCCTTCACTCAGCGTTCCCGCCCTCGCTCCGCCTCTTCTGGGCCGCGGGCGCAACCGCCCTTCTCGCGATACTTTCGTGAAGTTGTGATGTTTTAGTTTCCATGGAGCTGCCTCTGGCAACACCTGGGGCGGAATTGGGCTGAGCGCCGGGCATTGTTGATTAGAACTCGGCTACTACCCTGGTCAGAAAAAAAGTAGAGAGCTTGCGAAAGAAGCCTTCTCATCGGAGCAGGATGGGCCCGCCCAGCCCTCTCAAAGGAGAAGAGGAAACTGAATATAACTCAGAAAAGTGCCTCATATCTGAGATCGCTAGAGAGGGGCGGGGAGCGAGAGGAGCCCCAGAAAGCGCCCCTGTGTTGCGGGAAAGGGATACTAGAGATGACAGCTCCTCCAAGAAGTATAAGACAGATACCAAGGAGTTCCCGTGTCCTGGAGGCCCCCCTCAGAGTGGGATGCTGTTGACTCAGATCTCCTTCCTCCTCTTTTCTGGGATCTATACACCCTGGCAACTCACCTGGGGTTTCCGGGGAGGGCCTGACCCCATGAAGGCAAAACACGCCCACCTAGCTGTGCCTCTTCTGACTCACAGACTGGAGCCTATTGAAGCTGCCCAAAGAGTGACAGACTTGTTCTTGAGGTGTTTGCAATGTTTCCTGCAGTGCTGACATTTCTAATTCCTGACCTGTAACTGCTCTAAGGCTTGCATTACTTTTGGCTCTGCCAATCGCCTGTACAGTCCTAGTTGCAGTTTTACCTCAACACTTGAGGGCGCTTTTTACACTTGAGGGCGCACTTAGTTCTAGGTCCCTGCCCCAACAGAAATTTAGCCCCCCTCCTTGTGGTTTCTTCCAAAAGTGTAGGCACTGGAGTCAGAATCACTTTTCCATATCTACTAGCAGTGTGACCTTGGAACTATCACTAAACTCTTACCTCTTTTTCTCAATCATACAGTTGGGTTATTGTGAAGATCAAAAAGTGCATGGAGAAGAGAAGGGGGAAATTGCTTAAGGGGTAGGAGTTTTGCTTTGGAGTTGATGGAAATATTTTGGAACTAGATAGAGGTGATGGTTGCACAATATTGATGTGCTAACTGCTGCTGAAATGTTCAATTTAGAATGGCTAACTTTGGATGAACTGGGGTTATAGCTCAGTTGGTAGAGCACTTGCCTAGTACGTGTGAGGCATTGGGTTTGATTCTCAGCACCAGATAAAAATAAAGTAAAGGTATTGTGTTCATCTACTATAAAAATATTAAAAATAAGGGATGGGGTTGTGGCTCAGTGGTGATTCACAGCACCACAGAAAAATAAGTAAATAAACGTATTGTTACCATCTACATCTAAAAATATTTTTATAAAAAATAAAATGGCTAATTTTTATCTGGGGGTAGCTTAGTGAGCACTTGCCTAGCTTTCAGTAGGGACTGAGTTTATTCTCTAGTACGACAAACACACACACCTGATAAAATGGTTAATTTTGTGTTATGTGTCTTTCACCTCAAATTATTTTTAAAAGAGTGCAGGCTCAGCCCTGATGCCGTATCACACAGCTGTAATCCCAGCGGCTGGAAGGCTGAGGCAGGAGGATTGCAAGTTCAAAGCCAGCCTCAGCAAGTTAGCAAAGTCTTGTCCCTAAATAAAGTATAAAAAAGGGGATGGGGATGTGGCTCAGTGGTTAAGTGCCCCTAGGTTCAATCCCTCCTACCCAAAAAATAAGTTCGGGCTCTGAAGGAAGATTGCCTGATTTTGGATCTCAGCTTTACCACTTATAGAAACTGTATGACTTTGGGCACATTAAAAACAAAATGATGGTTGGGGGTATAGCCCAGTGCTAAAGCACTTACCTAGCATGCATGAGGACCTTAGATCCATCTCCCAACTACCACAACAAAAAAAAACAAAGCCCAGTGTGGTGGTGCACACCTGAAAATTCAGCTACTTGGGAAGCCCACAAACTCAAGACCAGCCTGAGTAACTTATATAACAAGACCCCATCTTAAAAAATATATATATGTATGTATATATATATACACACACACACACAAATGGATCTTGAACTTGGTGTACTAATAAATGTTAGTTATTAGAAGAAACTACATTTCTTCTAGGAAGATTCTGGTGTCCTGGGTCATGTAAATACATCCTCCCTTGTAAATGGGTCACCTCTGTATCCCTTTTACCCAGTACAAGGCTAATTAATCCATTTACTCAGTAAATATTTAGTATTTATTCTGTGCCTGACTTTGGTTTAGGTGCTGGTTGTACACCGGAGTACAACAGACAGTCTGATCCCAGCCATTAAAAGATATGGTCTAGGCTGGGCAAGGTGGAAAACACCTGTAATCCTAGCAACTCCAGAGGCTGAGGCAGAGGATTGCAAGTTCAAGGCCAGCCTGGGGCAACTTAGCCAGACTTTGCCTCAAATTTTTTTTTAATTTTCTTTATTATTTTTATTTTTATGTTTTTGATGGGGGGTGGGATTGAATTCAGGGACATTTAACCACTGAGCCACATCCTCAGCCCTTTTTTATTTTTTTATTTTTTGTATTTTATTTAGAGACAGGGTCTAGCTGAGTTGCTTAGGGCCTCACTGAGTTCCTAAGGCTGGCTTTGAACTCATGATTTTCCTGTCTCAGCCTCCTGAGACACTGGGATTATAGGAGTGCACCACCTTTTCCGGCCACTCAAATTAAAATCTTAAAAGGGCTGGGGAAGTGGCTAATGGTATAGCACTTGCAAGCCCTGGGTTCAACTTTAGCACACACAAAAAAAACACACTACAAGGATAGACAACTATGTGGACGGGAGAAGGTAGAGGAAGTCAGAGTCACTTAGGTAGAAAGAGAAAAACACTTAGAGACAGTGCCAAAACCTGAAGGTCAAGAAGGACTTAGCCATGTGATACAACCAAGAACATTCTGGGCAGAGGGAAAGGGGAAGAACTTCAGGTGCTGTGGAGTTTGGAATGGTCAAGAAACAGAGAGAAACCCAACATGGTGGCATACACCTGCTATCCTAGCAACTTGAGAGGCTGAAGCAAAAGGATTGCAAGTTCAAGTCCAATTTGGGCAATTTAGACCCCATCTCAGAAAAAAAAATAAAAAGGATTGGGGGATGTGACCAAGTTGTAGAGTGCCCCTGGGCTTAATCTCCAGTATGAAAGAGAGAGAGAGAGGAGAGAGAGAGAGAGGAGAGGGAAAGACAGAGAATCCAGTTTAGCTGGCTGGGCCAGAGGGCAAGTAGAGTTGTCGGCAGGAATGGCAGGGACCAGATTTGCCTAACCTGTAAACCCTGATATGGATATGGATTTTTAAAATATTTTTTTAGTTGTAGATGGACACAATATTTTTATTTTATGTGGTGCTGAGGATCGAACTCAGTGCCTCACATGTGCCAGGCAAGCACTCTACCACTAAGCTATGGCCCCAGCCCTGGATATGGATTTTTTCAAAGTGAAATGGGAAAGAAACCACAGGTAGTTTTTAAGCAGGCAAGTAACATGATTAGATTTATATATGTTTTAAAGATTGGCTGTCTGCTAGGAGAAGAATAGACTGCCCATGACCAGAGAAAATGCAGAGGGATCACTCAGGAGGGTATTACAGTCATCTACATGAGAGGTGGTGCTTAAAAGGTTGCAGTGGAGAGAAGTGGACAGAAGCAAAATGTATTTTGGAGGTGGAATCAACAGGATGTAGGGATGAATTAGATTTGGGAGGTGATAAGGGGAAAGAAGAAAGCTGTGTACATGGTGGCATATCCAGCAAAAGGGAAGAATAGTAGGACAGGTTTCAGAGACAAAAGAGTTTTATTTGACATGTTAAGTTCCAGACACCTCTGGGACATCCTGAGGGACACACATCATTTAGGTAACTCCATATCTCTTAGAGATCTGGGTTGAAGCTAGAGTTTGGTTTTTGTGAGTTTTTAAAACTTTTTTTCCAGAGATGAGATCTTGCTATGTTGCCCAGGCTGGGCTCAAACTCCTGGGCTCAAACAATCCTCCTGCTTTCAAGTGGCTGGGACCACAGGTATGCACCACTGCACCCAGAAAAGATAGAGTTTAATCTATCAGCATATATCAGCAGGGGATTATCAACATACATGTGAATTTCAATGCCCTGAGTCTGGATAATGTTATCTTGAAGGCCTAGAGAAGAGAGGGCAATGTTCTTCCTGAAGCAAGAGAAACTCAGAATTTAGAGGTCCAGTCGAGGGGCTGCCTGCAGAGAGGCTATGAGCAAGAAAATGCAGAGGAAAGAGTGGTTTCAGAGAGTCCAAGAATAAAGCAAGAGATATTAGATATTAGATATGTAGCTCAATGGAAGACCATTTGCCTAGCACATTCAAGGCCCTGGGTTTGATCCTCAGTACCACACACAAACAAAAGTCATCAGCTATGGAGAACTAAAGCGAGGACAGTAACTGCTATTTCCTGAACTGACCTGAACTTATTCCTGTGTTTGCTGCATGTGTACCCTGTCAAAACTTGTCCTTCCTTTCCAGTGTCTTTAGCAGTTGCAGTTAGACATACTCCTGAGGGAACAGTGAGAAAAGAGTATTTCTAAAGCAATTTTGTTCATAGTAGCACAAGAAAATGTTAAAAAAAAAAAGAAATAACTGTCCATTGAGAGAATAATGGACAAATAAATTGTGCTGTGTAGAGTATCATGAAAGTTCAGAGTGGGACCCTTATCTTCGATAGGGTCACCTCTTTCAAAGTGTGATTGCTTTCCTTTCTTGTTTAC